ATCAGAAGGCTCTGAAGTGCGATCTGAGCACATGTTGGAAATGGACACTGCACCCTCAGTAGGAAGAAAAGAACCATATTTCCCCAGTCTTGGGGGAAATACACCTCAAGATTATTGTGGGAAATATGTTTAAACCACCAAGAAAAAGCCATTCACATTCCAAACTAATTGGGGTCTCCTGGGAAGATCCTGTTCCACTCTAGGAATGAAAAGAATTGGGATTTCCTAGACACAGTGACTGCAAAGGGGAAGCATTTCAGTTGCTAAAAATGCAATTATTGTTGAAAAACAACTATCTCTCCACCACGGTCCCCAACTAAGAAATAAAGACGCCCTGAACAGTGATCCATCTAATTCTCTGATGGTTACTTGACAGATGGCATCACAAAGAGGATGTTGGTCATTTTGTCAAAAAATAAAGGAGTCAGTTGGTCAAATAGTTAAGCAGGCAGTGTTTTTTAGTAGTTATAAATTGGGTTTCTGTAGTCAGGCTGCTTGGATTCATATTTCTGCTTTACTACATCCTAAATTGATTACCTTGGAAAAGAGTCTTAGTATTTCTGGTCTTGGTTTCCTCATTTGTAAAATGAGGATTAAATAAAAACTAGCCTTGCCGGGCTCGGTGGCTCAGCCTGTAATCCCCCACCTTTGGGAGGCCGAGGTGAGTGAATTGCCTGAGCCCGTGGGTTCGAGACCCGCCTGGGCAACTTGGCGAGACCTCATCTCTACAATAATTCAAAAATCAGCCGGGCGTGGTAGCACGTGCCTGTAGTTCCAGCTACTTGGAAGGCTGAGGCGGAAGGATCGCTGGAGCCCACCAGGTCGAGGCTGCGGTGGCCAGGAGCGGCCACTGCACTCCAACCTGGTCAACAGAGTGAGACTCCAACTCAGAAAAAAAGAACAAAAATAAATAATAATAAAAACTAGCCTTACAGAAGTATTTCAAGAATTAAATTACATCTAAATGTTTGACATAGTATCTGACCTTTAGTAACTGCCTTGTAAATGTGACTATCATTGCCACTTCTTAGAGAACTTTGTGAATTAAACTGAATACAGCAAAAGGATATTTTTGCCCTAATAACTCCCATAAAAACCTAGTCTTATTACATGAAATTCCTCACTTGAAATGTATTCTTCAACCTAAACACAAACATTCATAAGATGCAGATCTCCAGTGGTTGTCAATATTTCTACTAGGTGGAAAAATAATGTATTCTTCAATTCACAACATAAATATGCCTGGGATGAGTCACATAAATGTGATTACTAGTTTCTAAGTCATTAAGTGAATTTATTTTCTAGATCTCCTTAATGCTAAGTTTCCTCAGAAGTAACATAGAGGCTGAGGAAAGAACTGGAATGGACTGGGTATCCTTGGAAGACAAAGAAGCACATTAGGAGTAACAAACTTCCTAATGGGTGAGTGAAAACCAGAAAACCTCACTTGAGAAAGTGAGGAGGAAAAGAATGGATTTAGGATTGGGGAAAGTTGGGTTCTTCTTTTGACTTTGCTTCTAACAAGCCTGCGGATAACTGACACTCTAATTTTCAACTTCAAAATTAGGGGATAGGCTAAAATAATACTCAAGGTCCTTTATATCTCTCAATTTATTCTTTGTTTTGTTTATTATTTTCAGTCAGAGTCTCACTGTGTCACCCAGGCTGAAGTGCAGTGGCATGATAGTGGCTCATCGCAGCCTCAGACTTCTGGGCTCAGGCAATCCTCCCACCTCAGCCTCCTGAGTAGTTGGGACTACAGGTATGCACCACCATGCCTGGCTAATTTTGGGGGTTTTTTGGGGTTTTTTTTGAGTTGGAGTCTCACTCTGTCTCCCAGACTGGAGTGCAGTGGCCGCTCCCGGACACCGCAGCCTCTACCTGCTGGGCTCCGGCGATCCTTCCGCCTCAGCCTTCCGAGTAGCTGGAACTATAGGCGTGTGCTACCATGCCTGGCTAGTTTTTTGATGTATTGTAGAGATGAGGTCTTGCCAAGTTGCCCAGGCGGGTCTCGAACCCACGGGCTCAGGCAATCCACTCACCTCGGCCTCCAAAAGCGCTGGGATTACAGGCTGAGCCACCAAGCCCGGCCAATTTATTTATTTTTTATAGAGGCAAGCCCTCGCTGTGTTGCCCAGGCTGGTCTTGAATTCCTGGGTTCACACAATCCAATCCCCCCATCTCAGCCTCCCAAAGTGCTGGGAATACAGGCATGAGCCACTGCACCCAGCCTATATCTCTCGTTTTATATAATTCTCTTAAGTCTTTGATCATTTATTTATTGTAACCTGACACCCACTTGGCTAAGTTTTTTTTTTCTTGATCCTTTATAATAGTTCAAAAACAAAGAGACAGAGAAACATGTTCAGGACATGAAGAAGATTTCTGATAAACTAGTGAGGAAAACTAAAGGGAAGTATTCTCAATGTGATGAAAGAAAAGAGCCCTAAGAAAACCTCAGAAGTGAATATAAAAGCTGTGGTTACTGAGGATATGGGAAATGAATGTCCCAAAGAACAATGTTTAAATTAAAAGATTTGAGCAGGGAATTACATTAGGAAGTGCAAACACCGTGGATTACAAATGCAAAAGAGATTCAAAAATAATAAATTGCATGTTGTATGCAGTTGAATTATATTCATGATGAATAGACCTATTAACAAATACTACTTCAAATGCTATTTTTTATAACTTTAGAGGACCCTACAATTTTATAATTAATTTTAAGAATAGTAGAAAACTTAAAATACATATACAAAATGTAATAAAGGGGACAAACTGAAAGAAAAGGTAAGAAAAAGTGTGAGAGAGCATGAAAGCTCTGTTCACAAAGTAAGGGGCAGCAAGTTCTGGAGGAAAAATTAGAAAGAATAAACAGAGGTTTTTTTTAATATTTGTTCTGTACAAGGCATGATGCTAGGAGGTTAGAAGAATTATTTTTCATAATAACCCATGAAGAACATACACTTATTATTTTCATTTCACAGAATATATAGTTATTTACATTTCACAGACCAGACCAGTACTAAACTTTCCTAGGTTTCACAGTCACTAAATAGTTGAACTGGCCGGGCTCGGTGGCTCTGCCTATAATCCCAGCACTTGGGAGGCCTAGGCAAATGGATTGCCTGAACCCATGCATTGGAGACCAGCCCAAGAAACTTGGTGAGACCTCATCTCTACAATAAAAATAAAAATAAAAAATTAGCCGGGCGCGGTAGTACGTGCCTGCTGTTCTGGCAACTTGGAAGGCTGAGGTAGAAGGATCACTGGAGCCTGGCAGGCTGACGCTGGGGTGGCCATGAGTGTGCCACTACACTCCAGCCTGTGCAACTCAAAAATATAAAAAATAGTTGACCTAGGTTTCAAGCCCTGATCTGTCTTATTCTAGAATTCCTTACTCTCGGTCTCAGTCTCTTATAATTAACCCAGATGGTCCTACTCCAAGGTGACCCGAGGACTGGGATTCAAGTAGCTTCAACCAAACTCCTTCAAAGAAAATGGGGTAAAGAGAAGACAGAAGGAATTCTCACCCCCTTCCACCTACAATCTTCCCTCTACCACCCCACTCTTAGCCCTCTGTAGTTTTTAATTTGTTAGCTTTTTAAAAGATTATTTTAAGTTAGTCTTACAAACAGATAAAATAGCCTGGTGTAATTTGAGGGGGATTCTGACCAAAAGCGACGATTTATCTTTCTGGTTTCTAAAATTGCCTCAATACATGGAGTTTCTTAGTTGGAAATGTAAAGCTTAAAATGTAAGTGAACTCATGATATAATGCATTTCACTTGCAATGAAATCAGTCAATAATTGTCAAAAATCAAATGTCTGGTCTCATTCATTCAATACTAATGTAAGTCCAGAGCTAGTCCTGGACTTACGGTCACTTACAAAATAGATGTGTTCTGGGTTCTTATGGAGCTTACTAGAAAGTATAGGGTGGAAGTAACAAGTAAATGAACATATAATTACAAACTATAATAAATACCCTAAAATAAATAAAGACATGTGTTTATAACATTGGGAGTGTAGAGAACATAGTTAGAAAGCATCTTCAGGAAGGCATCTTTGCGGGGTCTATATTTAAGCTGGAAGTCGAAAAATAAGAACCATCCATGCAAGAATGCAAGCAGAACATATCAGGGAAAGTGAAAACATTGCAAAAGTCCTGAAGTGGAAAAGAACGTGGAATCTTCGAGGAACTGAAGAAGACCAGTATCACTGGACAAGCAAGAGATGAAATAGGAGAATTTCACATGCGGTGTGATTGTGAAGCTTCTTATAAACCGGAGTAAAGAGTTTGAATTTTATTCCAAGGGCAATAAAATTCCACTGCGTGGCTTTAAACAGAGGAATGGATCATATTTTTAAAAGATTATTCAGGTTCTGTCTGTAGAACAGACTCACAAGAGTGTTTTTGTGCAGTTCAGAAAGGGAAGAAAGGCAGAAAGGCGTGTGGTACTTTATAGGACAATGTGGATTATCACAGCAAGTGAGGAAACAGAGACTGAGAGCAGAAGAATGTCAACTTCATAGCCTTAACTGGAGTCAGCCCTATTCACCTTACGTGAAACAAGTATGATAAGCACACTTAGAAGTGTTATTATTTTCATGAGATTGCAAACCATGCATATTTTATAATAGTGTTTTTCTGTTCATTAACACAAATAACATAAAATAGCTTTATGTCCATGAAGTTGTAAATCAAAGATTATCTTTCCTATTGAATTAATGCTACAACAGTATAGCAATAAGAACCTTTAATAAGAACCTATGGCTGGTCTTTCCTGTAATACCAAGCAGTAGTATTCCAGAAGCATTGCTGGTTAATTATCACTCCAATAACATTCTTGATTAACAGGTAACAAAAACAATAAAATCTTGACTTAACTAACATTTTTCACCTCATGCCACTGCTAACTCATGCTGATAGTTCCTTTCTCTGCTCTGATTTTTATCTTGTTTTTACACACAGACCAGGGCATAATCCAGAATCAGTGATGAAAAATTATACAGCAATAACAACATTCATCCTGGTGGGACTAACAGACGACCCAACGCTACAAATTCTACTTTTTATCTTTTTGTTCCTAACCTATTTGTTGAGTGTTGTTGGGAACCTGACCATCATCACTCTGACCTTGGTGGATTCCCATCTTAAAACACCCATGTACTTTTTTCTCCGGAATTTCTCCATCTTGGAAGTCTCATTTACAACTGTCTGCATTCCCAGATTTCTCTACACGATGGCATCTGGGGACAATACTGTTACTTATAATGCATGTGCCACTCAGTTATTTTTTGTTGTTGTCCTGGGTGCGACTGAGTTTTTTCTCCTGACAGCCATGTCTTATGACCGTTATGTAGCCATCTGCAAACCCCTGCATTACACGACAATCATGAACAACAAAGTCTGCATCAAGTTCCTTATTGGCTGTTACATAATTGCTCTAATCATTGTCATCCCACCATTTGGCATGGGCTTTGAGCTCAAGTTTTGTGACTCCAATGTCATAGACCACTTTGGCTGTGATGCTGCCCCCATCCTGAAGATCACCTGCTCTGACACAGAGTTCATAGAGCGGTTTGTCTTAATCTTAGCTGTGTTGACCCTCCTGTTCACGTTAGTGTGCGTGATTACGTCCTACACTTACATCATCAGGACCATTCTCAAATTCCCTTCTGCCCAGCAGAGGAAGAAGGCTTTTTCCACATGCTCTTCCCATATAATTGTGGTTTCTATTACTTATGGAAGCTGCATCTTCATCTATATTAAGCCATCTGCAAAAGAAGGGGTGGCTATTAATAAGGTGGTGTCAGTACTTACCACCTCGGTTGCCCCGGTTATGAATCCCTTCATTTATACTCTCAGGAACAAGCAAGTGATACAGGCTTTCAGTGACATGATCAAAAGGATTGCATCTCTCTCAAAGAACTAAAGGATTATTGACTGCAAAGTGAAAAATTACAAAAGAATTCCTTATCTTTGTTTTATTCTTCCCAAATTCTATACTAGTCATGGTTTTTGTATATCGCAACCTCATTCTGTTGCACGTACCGTTCACTACTGATACAAGTATTCATCTCTTAGCTCAGTCTAGTCCCATAAATACTTGGGTCTAAATCTTCAGCAAACTTTTTTATCAACACACCTGTTATTGCTTACAGACGCAAGAAATGTAGAAAACATCAGTTTACTATTGTATTGGTGTTTATCTACTACTCTTGTACTGATTTATATGTCCTGATTTAAGCCCCAAATTTCCCTGAACCATCAATGATGATGATCTATGTCTTCAGGAATAATCCTGTGAATACCCTGTTTGATAAAATTTATTGTTCTATCTCTTCCACTTTTCAGGAAGCTATAAATGTAGATTAAAACTTTCCACTAATTCCACTTACTTAAAAGCTTCATGGCTGAGCTCAGTGGCTCAGCCTGTAATTCCAGCACTTTGGGACGCCGAGGCGAGTGGATTGCTGGAGCCCGCAGGTTCAAGATCCACCCGGGCAACTTGGCAAGACCTCGTCTCTACAATAAATCAAAAATTAACCAGGCGTGGTAGCACAGGCTTGTAGTTCTGGCTACTTGGAAGGCTGAGGTGGAAGGATCGCCGGAGCCCAACATGTCAAGGCTGTGGTGGCTGGCAGCATGCCACTGCACTCCAGTCTGGGCAACAGAGGGAGACTCCAACTCAAAAAAAAAAAAAAAAAAAAGCTGCACAACGTCTTTTTATAAAAACCCCAATTCTATCTAAATAGAATTTCATATCTCAATCATCTGAGTGTGTATCTGTGTATGTCTATATGCATTTTGGAATGTCAGCTTAACAGGCTTAAAGGAGTTAATGGAATGGACAAAATATAAATGGAAGTTTATACTTGAATTCTGTTCTATTATCCAAATTATTCACCATAATGATTTTTCTAATCACTTTTTCCAAACATTTTTCTAAATACAAAAAAAATCCCATCTCAATCACAAAATTAACCAATGAATAAAAAAATTCAAATTTTTAAGTGTTCAGTGTTTGCCTTTTCAACTTAGCCCCTCTTCCTTATTACTCTTCTCTATCCTCATAATTTTCTATTGTTTACCAGTTGCTCTAGGAAAATATGTGCCGTTCCAGGAATCGGAAAGTCCAGATTATACTCTGGCTTTTATTATCAACAACTCAGACAAATCTTTGGCTGCCTACTACCGTCCAGATTTATTAAACTAAAGAGCAAGGTGAAGGAGTAAGATGGCACTAGAAAACAAGCAAGAAATCCCAGTGATATTCGAGGGACTGTCCCAAGCTGATTCACAAGACCAAGAAATTAGACCATAATGGATAAGCAATCTCAAAATTCCTGATGCCAGAGGTAAAGAATGAGTAAGTCTGAAGATTATACTAAAGATTACATTAGAAAAAAAAAAATCAATCTTAATTCCCCCATCTCATTCGCAATCTATTCATTAGAAATCTCTAGATGCCAAATATGCTTTTAAAAATAAAATGGGAAAGCAACATTTGTGGGAATTCTGGTGAACTGTGAGCTAAGCAAAGCACAGTTAATAAGTCAGAGTACCACCTTTGGTCAAGGAATTTGTGAATTGCAAACATCTGAGTTTGTGAATTGTAAATGTCTAACAAGTCTCTTGCAGAAAAAAAAAAAAACCTCTGGGCCCAAACTCCCCAAGTTAACCTAATCAGCCTTTTGTGATACAAATAAACCCCACAATGGCAGCAGTCATGTGACTAACCCACTCATCTGCCGGCTGTCCATCATCTGACATCAGTACCTGCACTTCCCTGCCCCTTCCTGATGATGTAGAGCAGATCACCACCCAATCACCTTAATGATCTTCCCCCATCAAAGGGAATGGTTAAAAGAACTCAACCACAAGCAGCCAACGGCCATTGCCTTGCTAGACTCTGGTGTGTCATGTGTTCTTTGAGCTATGGCTGTCACCTTGCTCCCTGGCTTTGGTCCCCTCCCCCACCTTGAGGAGGTGAATCTTCTCTCTCCTTTCTCTTTCTCTCTCTAACTTACTTTTAAATAAGCTTTTCCTTTTTTGTCTCACAAAAAAATAATAATAATAAGTCAGGTTACCAAACCAAGGAAGCAGTTAAAGAATATGTTCAGTCTGCTGAGGTTAGACAAGATTTTGCTACAGGTAACAATTTTTCTTGTATTTTTTTCACCTGACTTTGTGAATGAATAATCCCCTGACCATATAACATATTCGTTCATGTTATTTCATTAATTTATTATTTCATTAATTTATCCCTCTTTCACTAGACACAGAGCTCCATGAGGTCAAAGGTCATGTCTACTTTCTCTTACCAACCATATTTCTGACAGAGTTTAATTTTACTCCACACACCTCTTCACTGGGCTGAAGACAGCCACAGCCATTCTCATCCTACCCCTGGCCCTGGTCATATGAAGATCCCATGGTCTTACCAAGGCCATAGAGAAGCTCCTCCAGTCATTAGCCTATGAAAATAATCACTGACCTTACTTGTATCACCTTCCATATCCACTAGACTTACTGCTTTCACACAAGGCTCGCAAATGGAAATTTTTAGGGAAGACGATTGAGAAACTTACAACTGGGATCTAGCACCATGTTGGAGATCCCACCAAGTTGTGATCACCAGGGAAGAGGACACAGACTGAATTCTTTGGGGAGCACCCACAAAATTTCTTTTTAAAATTTATACTCTTTTCTCAATAGGATCAGTCTTTGAGATATAAAAGTTAGAAAGCCCTTAACTGATTCTCTCAAAACTTATCTTCCCAGACAAGACTTACCTGGCCACATCTTATCCAGGACTCTCCTTCATCATGTGCAAACACACCAGTCTCTGTAGTAATAGCTTTCCTTTAGTCTTGCTAAGACTCCTTAACTCTGTGATATTGGTGAGTATCTGTGCTAAGACATTATCAGACTAGCTCTTAAACATGAAAACAGTGATATGTGGAAAGAGCACATAATTCAAGATTGGTATGAAGGGAAGAAAATATATATTTAAAGTTCATGGACTAGGCACAGTGGCTCAAGCCTGTAATCCCAGCACTTTGGAAGGCCAAGGTGGGATGATCGCTTAAGCCTAAGGGATCTATACCTGGCTAGGCAACATAGCAAGAACTCATTTCTACAAAAAAATCTTTAAAAAAGGCCTGACATGGTGGCACGTGCCTATAATCCCAGAAATTCGGGTGACTGAGGCAGAAGGATCGCCTGAGCACAGGAGGTCGAGGCTGCTATGAGCCGTGATCGTGCCAGCCTGGGCAACAGAGTAAGTCTCTGATTCAAAAATAAAATTAATAAAATCAAAACTACAGTGAGATACTGCCTAACTCCAGTAAGGATGGCTATGATTAATAAATCAAAAAACAACAGATGCTGGTGCAGGTGCAGAGAAAAGGGAACACTTCTACACTGTTGATAGTAGTTCAAGTTAGTTCAACCTCTATGGAAAGCAGTGTGGTAATTCCTAAAGGAACTAAAAATCAGCCTTCTGTACAATCCAACAATCCCCTCTTAGGAATATACCCAGAGCAACATAAACTGTTCTACAAAAAAGACACCTGCATACATGTATTTATAGCTGCACTATTCACAATAGCAAAAACATGAAATCAAGCTTACTGCCCATCAAAAGTGAATTGGATAAAGAAGATGTGGTACATATACTCAGTGGAGCATTACACAACCATAAAGAAGAACAAAATCATGGATCTCGCAGCAAATTGTATGGAACTGGAGACCATCATACTTAGTGATCTATCATAGAAACAAAGAACTGAATACTGCATGTTCTCACTTATAAGTGGGACCTGAACATTAATCACATTAGCACAAGAGAGGGATAGCCAGTTGCTGGGAACTGCCAGGGGGTAGAAGGAGGGGCATGTAACAACACAAAGGGTCCCAAGTCAGGGTAAGCGAGGGCCAGTTGGGGGTCCAGACTTCACCTGCATGCAGTCTACTTGTTTAATCCTTACTTGTACCCTACATCTCTATAATAAAATAAAATTTTTTAAAAATAAATTAAATTAAACAGTTTATAACATATTGGTAGTTCAAATAGTGAAAAAATATGTGGAATGAAATAGAAAAAAAGAAAAATAGAAAAAATAGAAAAAAAAAAGAAGAGAACAAATATCTGTCTGCTCTTTCCTTCCATATTCCAGTCTTATTATCAGATGGCCACTTCTGTTCATGACAGTTGAGTGAATCACCTGTGTGCCATACACAGTCCTTCCTGCCTTCGTTATGTAAGAGCAGCTCTTGCTCAGCCCAGCTGTACCACTTCCATCTTATGATGGATGAGGTCTGCCCAATCTTAGGCCATGGTTGGTCTGCCAGACACAGCTCTTGATGGGTAGTTCCAGAAGCATGGTTACTTACCATTCCACGGTTAGATACTCCACCTATCAAGGCCTGTTGGCACACCCGGACTTGATTTCCATAAGATGTGTAATTCTCCAGTGAAGATGCCATGACCTTGTCTCTCAGAACCTGCAGGCCTGCACTGTGATTCTCATGCTAGGATTTAACATAAGCTCCACATGGCATATCTCCCACTTACGGCTTGACCTTTAATTTTCCCTCCCCTCTTGCTACAGAAGATGGATCCTCTATGAAACCTACAACATTGGCGTTCTAGCTTTTTAACAGTCTTTTAATCATGCTCAGCTTTTCATTATCTTTTTCTAAAGTATGATAGCACAGAGCAACAGCCACATGCTTTAATTCTGTATTGCTGCATGAGAAAGTTACCCCAAAATTTATCATCTCACAGTTTACATAGGTCAGATGTCTGGACACAGTTTAACTGGGTTCTCTGCTTAAGGCTTCACAAGGCCATAATTAAGGGTGTCAACCAGGCTGCATTCTCTTCTGGAGGTTGGACCCCTCTTCTAAGTATACATGGCTGTTGGC